ATGGGACAGGGTGGCGCGTTTGTTGAGCTAATTACTGTAAGGCGAGGCGTTTACTCGCGCCGCTACATACAAACGGCATTAAAGGTGGTGGTCATCAATCCTCGGTAGGGACCCTTCGCCCGCCTGGCGAGTTGGCCCACCCCTCCATCCTTCGCTCTTCTCTGTGGAGAACTCTTCTCCTTGCGTTCCTCGCGTCCTCTTGAGTCGTGACATTAAGGATGCGACCGAATCAATGCGCGTTCTCCATCTGAATCAATCGCTAACTCCAACAAATGGTCACTTCAATCCAATTGTGGGATTAAAAGCCAACGTACAGCACCGTATCCCAATTTTTGTGAAAGATAATATTATACAATCGTAAAGAGATAAGCGTGACACTTAAGAAGCGATCCATTCGATGTTGCGCTGGCTATTCAAGCATCTGAATCCGAATTGGAATCGAAAGAAGACCTTTATAATTAATTTGATGCGCGATAGAAACGATGCCAACGATAATCATTACGTTTGCGCGGATTTGAATATCTCGCGTCACTTGATTCGATAAACGACTTTCGCGGGACATGCATAGAACTCGTTTAATTAACCGGATTCTACGATGCCTGCGAGTTCTCCTGAAGGAAGTAGGCATCGATATTTTTGACACCGAGGTAATTAATATCGTCGTTTAATTGTATAAACTGCAATAGGGAAGGATGCGCATTTATTTTGCATTTGTTTAACGCCAAGATGGATTATTATTGGCGTTATACACCCGATAGGTATGTATTGCTGTACAGGATACAAATGATGCAGCATTAATTGGCCGAGATCCGCGTTGGTCGAGTCTGTCGATTTCTATCGAGCTACATGCACTAGACTGAACGAATTAATATCCCTCCATCTCTAATTAACCGGTTTTCTTCCTTCAGTTTTGTTCAAACAGCAAGTTGTATTCGAGTGTCGCCTTACATTTAAGTATCCTAAAATAAAAATATTCAGATGCGTAAACATGTTAAATGCACATTATATAATATTATATCAGTATCGTCGAGGATATGATGAGGACAGAATCATTCATCTATTCTTTTTCTTAAATTCAGAATGCGAAGATTATGCTCTACAATCTGAAATTTCCGAACTTCGAGACTGAAGTCGGTTCGCAAGTGATTCTCGCGTGTATGTACTACGTTAAACGTATCATCAGCAGCATCATTCATTGCGTCTCCGCCTCCCGATCTCCAAACGTCGAACGATAATTTCCGAGTCCGTCTTGGAAGGACTTCATTAACCGCGCGGAACGTTGCTTCGGGGAGAGCTCGAAAACTGGTGTGTACATCATCGCGCCGGCTGATTGGTGCGGGCGCATAAGACCCCGCAGGATCTGGTCCCGCACCGCAGGCGAGTGCGCTCGCGAGGGTGTCGCGGTGTCGTGTATCGGGTGTTTCGGTCTCGGGACCGATGCGTCATCGCTCGGGCGTCGCGATATAAATAATACCATGGCTGATAATTAAGACGGCATTTCGGTTTCGGCACGGGCCGACATCCCCCGCTGCCGCCTCGCGACGCGACGCGATATCAGATTCGCATGCGTGTAGACACACGAGGCCCCGCGTCCGTGCCACGTGAGAACGTGAGATATATCACCATAGATCCGCGACCACGACGAAATTCCCGCGAAGGGCGGAGGGTGAGTGGCGAGGACCAATGGTATCGGTAAGGGTCCTCGGGCTTTGTATCCGCCTTCTAGTGTCTCGTGGGAAAAGAAAGCAATAGGGAGGATCGGAGGATCAGGAGGGCGGGAGAAAATAAAAAAGACGCGCGGAAGAATCGCGCCATGTGCGAGGGCTCCGCCGCGATAGAAAGTATTGCGTAGATTCATCTGGATAAACCGCGGTGCGATCAATCACTTGGTGATTAACTGCGCTACCTACGGAATCGAACTCGCCCTCGTAATTTATGGCGGTTTTTCTAGATAAGATATAAGAGACGTGTCGAGGTGTGTGACACAGGTGTTCATGTAATACGTTCGTTATTGAAATAACAGGCTCGCTATACCCATAAGCGACTTCTATGCGTGTACACATCTCGAACACGTGACGAGATTGTGATGGAAACGAATCAATTTTAATTTGATACACACACGTATACACGTCAGAAACTATTTTCTGCATCGAGAAAATCTTTTCTCTAAAAATGTATTTTTACCATCTTTTAATTCGTTTAATATTACGATGAGTTTCAGATTAAAATTAGTAAAAGTCCACCCTTTATAGAATAATCACATTACTTTCTATTCAATTTCACAAGGTTTTTTCGATCCTTTAATAAAAATTACTGCTTATACTTTGTATTTATTTACTTCTCTTTTTAATTACTTCATAAACTAAACATTCAAAATTAGTATAATTATGTTTGGAATAAAATGTAATATATAAATTGGATTATGTCCTCTTACAAAATATAATTATGAAAGAAAAAAAAAAGGAATTAATTTTTGTGACCAAAAGGAGACAAGGAGACAGAGTTAACTATCGCGCACGAATGCTCGGATGAGCGCTATTGTGAATGCGTGGCTCCTATGCCATCGATATAACTTCCCAAGTGTAATTGAGGGAATAAAGTTCGCGAAATTTCGCGAGCTGCGACGTTGGCGTGTGGATCGTAAAGAGGATGAGCATGTCCCGGCGTAACCTGAGGCTGCGAAGGGGCTGCAGTAACGCGACGAGGACACGTCGGGAAATGAAAACGAGGGGCGTCCCGGTGCCGGCGACGTCCTACCAACCCCACGGGGAGCCGGCACGTTACATCTTCATTAAGCAGTATACCTAACCGTCCTGTCGCGCGACTTCTTAGCACTTCGCAGTCCGCGCTAATTCCACATTAACTTCTTCTTTCTACATATCGGTTTCTGCCTTCTCCGTGACGTAGTCACATAAAGATGCTCGAAGAAAATCGCAAATCGCAAATTGTTGTTTTTTTTCACATTAACTGCGACGACTTTTTTTTAGAATTCTTTTCCTATTGTATAGTTTCGTATTTTACTTCGACTGTTATTAATTTTCAATAATTTTTGTTCTTGAGATATTATTCTATTTTTAAGGAAATCAATTTGTGAGATTTCTTTTCAAGCTTAACATATTTAGCTGTTTTAGAATTAACATATAAATCTATGTTATTTTTTTTAATGTTTTAATCAAAAGATATCAAGAATGCAGGAACTAAGTTACTTTCTTCTATTTTTATATCGACAGCGATATTTATTCTTTTCGCACAAAGAAATATCTATCCTGTTTTCCTTCTTGTTTACGCATAAATCTTTTTAGAGGTAGGACCTCCCATGTGCGCGATCGAGCCGAGTGTCACTCAGCCTTTGGTTTTCATTAAATCGGATAACCTTAACAACCTCCTTTCGGCAATGGAGGAACCATTCCTCAGCGCGAGAGCAGCCTCCTTAAGGATTTGATCGCGACCCTTTGTCCGCCGAGTAACGCCCGCGAGTCTCAGGATCGTATCGATGTACCATTGAGTCCTCTCCGGCGGGTGTTGCGGAGGAAATTCCAGATCCCCGAATCACCGTAAGATCGGGACGCATCGTTATGGGTCCGCGCGCTCCTTCGTCCGCCTCTCTCGCTCCCTCGCTCGCGGGCGGTATCGGGCCGGTCCACAAGGAGGACGCGGTCGTAAATATTCGGGCGCCAAATAATGCCGGTTCCGAGCGAGAGCAAGCGACCACGACTGCCGCCCGACCCGTAATGAAGGACATCCTCGTTAATTAGTCAATAAATTATCCTTCGCGCTCACGACGCCCGTGGTCGGTCCTCCCGTTCACTCGCCACCGCGCCACCCGTCTCCTCTCATCTCCGGACCGTCGCCTCGAGAGGGCTGCATACTTTACGACACCTATCTCATGCGACAGCGCGATACATTTCTCACAATCAGTGGTCCTCGAAAGACGGAAAACGCATCGTCTCGCAAGACGATCTACGAGGTGGTCCGGCCGAGCGTCGTTCGGATCGCCGTCGTTTCTCGAAAGGCTCGCCGACGTCTCGCGGGAATGCGTTCTCCCTGATAGCGAGATTACGGTCAATCACGACGAAAATACATCCTCGAGCTCACGCGAACCTGTTTCGAGACGAAAAATAGTTGAGAGATAATCAGAGAGAGAGAGAGAGAGAGAGAGAGAGAGAGAGAGGTCGG